GCCATGGCGAGTAACTTTATCATGGCAAGTATCACCATGTGAAACAATTAAAGGGTTCATGCCCTATATTTTTTGACACCATCAAAAGTTTCGTGATGGAATTTAGTGTGGTTTTAAGTGTTTTATTATCAGTTAATTTTGAGTGGCAACTAATAACAACAAATAGGGTTAGAATAATCTTCTTTTGGAGTCATTGTAAAGTTCGACCCTGGTTCTTATTACTGTTTTTAGGTTAAAGTGCCTCACTCAACGACAGTATCACGATAAACATTTTCTATGCTTTTAGTAGCATCTTTTTCTTTCGCGTTTGGAGTGCACGCACGTCACTGGCAATGACATTTAGTCTGTCGACGTTTTCCTACCTTTCTGCTCTCTTTACATCAATTAGAGAATTTCCATAGCCTCGCCTGTTCGCTACACATACATAGATAGTCGAACATAAGCTATAAATATACATGTGCATAAACTACAATGCTGCACGCTATCTTCAACGATATAAATCAATTCCCCAGAACGTTTAATTTGTTTGCCTCTTCTCGTTCCCCAGATTTCTCTTATCTTCGTTTTGTTTAGGGATTGTTCTCCATCCGGGAGAACCTCTCTATGTACGTATGCGATTTGTACGAACAATATTGTACCTACCCTTCATGGAGGTAGAATAGGCGCCATCTTCAACTGAGTGCATGAGTCAGATATCCTAGCGCGCTTAGAAAATCCTTTGTAACATCACATCACCAGCAGGTAAATATACACAGGGTGATTTATTTTCTAGGCGAATGCTATCCTCTATCTTCCAATTTTAGTGAATGTTGTTGAACCAAATGAACAAAACGATCGATTCGATTAGAAATTGTAGAAAAATTACAAAAATGCTATCCTTTCGATATCTACGAGGTTTTTGTTTAGTCAGAATTTAATTATAGGGTTGTTCGGAAAGTCATTTCGTTTTTTTTTTGTGGAAATGAAAGACAGTTTTCGTATAATAAACAAATACTTATATATTGACCGTTCTGGTCCAACACCTTTTGCCATCTTTCTGGTAGTAGCATAATACCAAAATCACTATCATTCAGGTAAGTGGATTTTGCCAAAAGGTAGTTGTACATTTACCTGAAATAGAGTAATGACCCTGTTGCTATGGAGATTTGCATCCTCTGTACTATAATTTGCACTATTTTCGCCCGCTTAAATATGCAAATTTCATCCAAAACAGGACCGAGCGGCATAACCTAGAGGTTATATTATTGCTTAGCATTCGGGAGGACGCCGGTTCGATTCCGGGTCC